GTCTTAGAGGTCTCTCTCCCGCCGTTACGTATCTAAAGTCCGGTGCCAACAGCCTCGCAGTGGTCTCTCCCAGCTGCAGATCCGTGGATGAGGGGGCCTTGACGTGTTATGAACCAGCTCCATGATTTTAGAGCATACGTGGACCTTGTGATAGTTAACATTGCCTCAGGAGTAGACATGGACAATCCTTTCTTGAAAGCCACAATGTTTGTCGCCGGCATCATCCAAGGGCTACCGGAAGTGCGACGACCCCATGAACCTCCATCGAGAAGCTCTACCTAGGTAGTATGAATTTGGACTTTTTCATTCGCTGTCGGGGCATCTACGGCGCTGCTGATCACTGACACTCGATACCTATGCCGTCGCCAACGTCTTTCTGGGTGGCGCTGCCATATCCCGTAGCATTTGGGACCTTCGGACAGCCCGTCGGCGCTATCGACCCGGCGGCCATCAATATTCTTACATTGGTGGCAAGAACACCGAGTTATAAGACCATTCCGACTCTCGTGTACACAGAGAAACTGGCGCCAACTAGCTTCCGACGTAAAATCTGCCGGCAAGCCAGCCCGGCCGCTAATGTTTACGCAACATCGGCCCGCGGACGCCGACCTCACACGGGATGCCCGCTTTTCTGCGCCCCCCCGCGCGAGACGTGGGGGACGGCGCTAGAGGGCGGGGACGCCGAAATGAGGGCGCTGCTCGTTCCTCTTCAGAGCAAGTCGGCGCATCCAGCGGCTAACAACCGGCGTCCCACGTGGCAGCCGCGGCCGTCTGAGGCGATGCAACCGGTTCGTCCGCTGGCCGCGCATGGTGGGCGAGCACGGATCTAGGAGCGCTGGCGGCAACGCGGGATATCACGAACGCAGCGTCCGTGTCAGCGATTTTAAAGACGGCTCCTTGAGGGACCTGTCGCATGGAGCGGCTAGATGGGTTTCATATTGAGCTGTGGAGCGTGCAAGAGTTTTTTTCGTCTGGTTGTTCTAGACCGGCGTACTATATGCACTGTCGTGAGTAAGTCGTAGATTGGTTTTTCATGAATCGCAAGCACGCGTTGGAGGCTGGGCATTTTGGTCTATGTTTCTATTGGGCAGTATCGGCATATGTGATTGCGCCAACAGTAGCTAGCGTCCTTCCTTTCCATGCATTCTTGGTGTTCCCTATGTGTGTCTGACTCGGCCGTCACACCGCCGTGCAGCAGTTCGTCTCATCCCAGGACACACGAGGGTTGGATTCACACGCCTTACCGCTTTGCAGCCGGGTATGCTGTTTCAACGGATCCAGTGAGAAATACCCCTGTTTGCAGGTAAACCAATCTTCTTTTTACCCTAAGCAGGTTATTCGATCCATCTTGTCAACCGTCAAAATGCATTGCAAAGTCTGGTAGCGAACTTTGAAACGATGCCGCCACACGACTGTTTTGCCCACTGTGAATGTTCGCAGCTTTCCTGGCGCAACACTCTGATCAACGCCCCCTCGAGGAGAGCCCCGTCCGGTTAAGCTGCCTGTGCTCATTGCACCCGAATCTATGGATAGAGGGACAGCCAGAGGGATCTGAGCTGGGGGGGGGGGAGGGCAAGTTGGGGAACCTTCAGCCGGTGATCTGGTATTCAAGTCTCTCGGCCGGAAGACTTGAACCGAGTTTCACGTAGGTGCTGGCAAGTGAAGTTAGGGCCCTGATTGGGATCCTTGTCATTGGCCAGGGACGTTATCTCGGCCACATGTTCGCCAGAATTCACGGACCGACAGACCCGCCTACTGGAGCGGGCGGCAGACGGAAATGTGACGTGACTGATCGTCTGACCGAAGACTTTGCCCAGCAACAGCAGAGCGTGCTTCCGCGAAATCGACAATGCCCGCCATCAGCGGAAACTCATTATCTAAGGAAGTACGGGCGGCCTTGAATCTATTTGGCTTCTTCATTTCTTGGCTTTATCTTTCTGTCATTTTCAAGAGCCATCGTCTGACACTTCGTGTATTGTGTCGAGTATCAGGCGTAATGCTTATACCATGTTTTTCTACCGTGCTTTCATAACGTTGTAAACCTGAGCGACCCTACGAATCTCCCCCTTGGCTACGTATGCCAGTATGGCACTTGACACGTCCTCTGATCTGGTTAAGTAAAGGAATGGCCCTGCCACTGGATCGATTCTCCAGGCGGGGGCGCACGGAAACCTGTCACCTGCTTCGAAGTATCCGTACCTCGGAAGACTCCAGTCACACCAACCACCCGTATCATGAGTAGCGGTACTATGGTTGATATTTGTACGGATCAGGGACGAGGGGAAGAGTTTAGGGAAGAGGGGGAAAGTTGGCAAGAACGGGGTCGCTATGTGGGTTACCGAGAGCGTGGCCGGCCGAAGCGGATGAAACGAACGAACATGGCGTGGACTGATTCATTTCTTTCTTTCGGGGAAGAATGTCCACCATGTAGCTCTCCGCCAGGGCTTTTTAGACAAGCGGCCCATGGTCTGCCCCGTCTCGAGACTTCCCCTGCCGCACACCCTCGGGTTATCCGCACTCTTCGCATCCTCGCATGGTTGCGCTACCATGGTAGATGGTCCCACGGCACCGCCGCACAAGTTCCACTCTCTGTGCTTTCACGCCTCTAACGGACGGATACACAGGCCAGAACTGTTTGGTCGTTGCAATCGCCTAGCCAGGAGCTGCTCATAGTTCCGTTCCCGCCAGGGTGTCACTTGGAAAGATTTTTCCCTTCTTCTTACAACCGAAGCCAGCCGCACTGGTTTAACGGTGGACTTGGTGGATGATCGCAAGTCAATGTTGTTTCAGTACTCCCACCGCTCCAAGACCCTCCTGGCGAAGTTGATCTTCTGCATCACCCTTATTCCAAGGGGCTTGGAACGAGACATGTTTGCACAATGGTCGGTACCCACGTGCACGATGGCGCGTGTGGGGCGCGTATCTCCAAACCTGCCACTGAGATGCGTAGTTTAAAACTGCCATTCTTGCGCAGCCACTCCTTTTGACGCCCGCGAAGACATACCGTAGACACTCGCGAGATTGATAAAACGCTAATCGGCAAGGGGCATAGCAGCCGCTTTGACGGCCGCTGTAAGGGGTATAGTCTGCTGGCAGAAGCAGGGATCTAGATGGGCTGAATAGGTTGGATGGACTGGCTGGCTGGCTGGCAAGAAGGTAGGTGGGGTCAAGTAGTTGACCGCTTTCCAATAAGGGCTTAGCGCAGTAGATGTACGCTAGCTGAATTTAGCTAGCCTACTACCTCTTACAGTTAGCCTTCTAATTAGCGCTTTATCAATCTCGCGAGTGTCTACGGTACCGACGGAGCTGTGGAGACGGATTCTTAAGGCTGAAGGCTAAAAACTTGGGGCTGCCACAAAGAAGCTGTTACTAGACTGAATTGGTGCTTGGGCTGCCATCGAGGTGGCGAATCCGATACTGCCATTGTGGAGGCTGCGGAGGAGACTCAGGAGTACATAGTATATCCAGACTTCAGAGACTCGATCTAGTACGTAGTAGAGAGACCGTACGCTTGCTGATGAGCGGCAGAAATGAACCCAGCAAAGGGCGGGGTTCGTCATGTCTTGGCAACTAATCACTGGGCCTGTCTATGAGTTTTTGCACCTCCTCGTCGGCTGAGACGGACCTGGCCGTGAGGGTCTTTCAAGTCATTTTGGCGAGAGTCCTTCTTCTCCCGCTTTTGCTCGACCCTCGAAGATATCACGATGCATCTTCCTGAACCATAGAGTAACAAACATCCCAACGCGATGGTCCTGCCAAAGTCACCCTCAGTGCTGGGTAGCGACCTGCGCCATGCTCCGTGTCCGTTCGCAAGTATGGGTCACTTGGCCGCCTTGTGTGGATATGTCCTGGGGGCCCTGGGAGCAAGACCCAGGAAACTGCATTCTCTTACACACCCTCGTCTTGCTGTCCCGTATAGGGGGATGTACCTGACCAAGCACTCGCATTGGCACATAGCCGCCGCATCTACAGCGCGGTTGTTGCCTGCGGTTATGGTTCCACTCTTCTGCGACTGTTGTCAACCATCGTTGAACATATCTCGACTGTCAATGAAGGGTTTTTTTTTTCTTTTTTTTCTTTTTCTTTCTACAACTGCCTCGAGTCCCCATTCGAGAAGTCGGAGTCGACAATAAAGTTCGACAATGGAATACAGAATTCATTCGGCCGAGCCTCTGCCTATCCAAAAGCAGGACGGAGAGGCCTCTTGTGAAACACCGGATGACGGGATGGCATGTCCTCGTTGCTCGAGTCATTCAACTGCATAGCCCGCGCTATAAGGTAACAGCTTAAGAGGTCTCCAGAACTACGTCCAATCAGCGAATGGAACTTCTCCAATAGGTTTGCATGCCCATGTGTTAATGTACCATTTCGGGCAAGCGACCAGGCATAGCCCGGCAGACTGCGCGATTCATTCACACTCGAGGGGATTCGGCAACACATTTCCTGCCATTGATGTAGTTGCAGAAATCTGATCACAGTCTCACAACCCCTGCCTTAGACCTGTGCAATGTCTTGGGGGGGGGGGGGGGGTTGACGAGAACCCCAATCAATCATCCGGATGCCCCTCGCCCGGGAACTACCATAGAAGAAGGATGCCATTGTAACAGGCACTACACGCTGTGGGGACCATGCCCGGTTTTGATGCCTTTTGCAGTCTTCAATGCTCCTTCGTCTGAAGGCTTATTCCTCTTGATCCCCGCCCACCCCCTCTCCAACCCTTTACCTCTAACACTCCCTCCCCTTCTAGGCAGTCATTCGTTCTTTTCGCTCTTTCACACTTGTCTTGCTAATATCAATTCCACCTTTTCTATTTTCAGAGCCATGCTGGCTCATGGTTCTAACAACTAACTAGCCTCTTACCTACTTTCTTACCACACATTGGCCGGACCACGTTCACGATCACGACTTGAGCTGCCGAGTTTCCCACGACAAGAGAGAATCGTCCCGACCCACACGATACGTACAACTCCAAACTCGAGCAGGCAACTCAAGACGCGAACATGGACTCCAAGACCGATTACGCGATGGACAAGAAGGATTACAGCGACCTGGAGGTGGTGATGCGCCAGTCGATGATGCCGAGCGACAAGTGCGTCATCGACAGCAAATTCCAGGAGGCCACGTCCAGCCCATCTCCTATCGTCTCACCCGCACCAGCCTACGTCGCACCCGTCACCATGGCCAACTCGCCAATCGTTCCGCCTTCGAGGACCACCACCGACGACAATGCTAGCTTTTTCAATCCCAAGGCCATGACTCCCCAGCGGGAGGAGAAGACGATTCTGGGCCTGAAGAGGAAGACCTTCATCCTCGCCGCCGTCGGCATCGCCGTGGCGCTGGTTCTAATCCTCGGTCTGGCTATAGGCCTTACTATGGGAAAGACCGGCAGCTCTGACGGAGCGCCTGCGGTTGACAGCAAGAGCTCCGTCATCCTCGAGAACTCCAGCTTGGCCGCGACGAACTGGACCGACACCAACAACGTTGGTCGCGCCGCCGTCTTCTACCAGGACAAGTTCAACGGCCTGAACGTCATGCTCTTCGACTCCCTCAGCGGGTCATGGACCAAGCGAAACGTCACGGCCAGCGTCATGAACTCCTCCTCCATCCCGGCGTTGGACGTCATGCCTGGCACCCCTTTGGCCTGTGTCACCAACAGGTTTCAGGTCAGCCTCTACTACCTGCAGAGAGACAACACCGTCTCCGAGGTCTACTCCCCGAACCCCGTCACCGACCAGTGGATGCCGGGTGCTTTGAACCCTACCCTTAACCCGCAGGCCTCCAACGGTTCTCGCCTTGCCGCATACTGGCAAGTTTGCCCCAGCTGCACCGACACGCTCTTGCTCGCGTATGAGAGCAACGGACAAATCCAGCTTGTGAACTCGACCAAGTTACAATGGCAGGCCATGCCCTCTATCAGCACCAAGGTCGTCCCGGGCAGCGGCCTTTCCATGAACGGCTTCACCGACTTCAACGGCGGCGGCCCGACGGGAACCGACGCCAACGCCATCCGCGTTTACCAGTCCGCCAACGACAACCTCATGGAGCTGCTCTCCGGGCCCTTGACCGACCATCGCTGGGAGTTTGGCAACTTTGGTAAGCATAGGCACTCTTGCAACGAAACGAATCCCGACTGACCAGATGACCAGGAAACCCACTCACCTCCAAACTCCCCACCAATCCTGCGCCTGAGATCGCCTCCTTGAGTTTCGGATCCACTGGTTGGACTGAGAGCCTGGCCACATACCTCACCGCCAACGGCATGCTGGTCTCGGCGCACTGGAACGGAACGGCCTGGACGGTGAGGCCGCCGAGCCTCGATAAAACCTTTGGCAACGCAACTGCGATCGCCGCAACCCAATCTCAGCGTTATTACACCCTTGTGGATGGCTCAATCCACCAGTACAGGGTGGAAGCCTCAGCAGATCCTTTCACGTGGTATCATGTCAACCAACTCTTGGGCTAGGCGACGTGCCATGCTCAACAACAACATGATGGCCTGACAAGCGTGCCCCCCTTACGGCCAGTCGTATGGAGCCTTAATACATTTGAATTTCTTTATAAATACTTTCTGTACCAGTCGGCCCTTCTGCTTTCACATTATCTTTGCGGTATGTATAGGCGTTGGTGTTGATATTGATCTGCGCCCTCTTGGTACGACTGCCTACGCAGCGTCGGACATAGAAGACGTCCAAGGGGGCATGAGAAAAGGGTGTTGCTGATGAAGGAGAGAGAGAGAGAGAGAGAGAGAGAGAGAGAGGTGCGACAGAAAAGAAAAAAAGACAAAAAAAAAATCCCGATGTGGGACGAAGACTTGTTTACTGGGCCAGTCCGCATGTCGAACCACTAAGCGCTATTGCAACGTGCGTGCTTACAGGGTCAGAAGCATACGCCGAGGCACGCCTAGCATGTGAGTTGGTGGTCACAAACAATGATTGGATTGTTTCAAGTGGCAACTGGGAATCATGGCAGCTTACAGACGGATGTCAGGATGCCGGGCTGTCTTGCGCGGTGTAATAGACTCTGTAGAGGCGCTATAATTGTTTCCGACTCTCTTTACGACTATGTTTATGTTACGGTGGACTTGGAGGACGATACCACAAGAATGAAGGAAGAATGTTTCATATCTGTATATCATACAACTACTCATGAAATCTAGAGATCATTGCTATTCGAACGTGTCTTGGTCTTGGCCTGGCCCAATGTAGTCACCGGTATTTTCATATGCGGTAACTCATTCGTCTTTGAGGCAGTAATTAGATGACTGGTCCGTCGATTCCAATGAGAGGCTCGGTTGCAATAGGCCCGCACTAGCCCTCAGAACAGGTGAAGTTGCAGTGGATCTGATGCAACTATCGTCGTGGACGCGGGGTATGACCAAGAACCTGGTGGCGCAAGAGAGGAGCCGACCACTTTGATGTTAATCGCAGCATAGAATAAGCGGATGGAACTACGTTTGTTCAAGAGTGTTCATCACGAAGAAGTAGAACCCGAATTTTGGGTGTTTTAAGGTGCATGGCGTGTTGAAACGGCTCAAGCAAGACGTGATGTGATGTCGGGAGGTTCTTTCCGAGTGAGCGGAACTGCCGAAAAACCGGTTTAAGCATGATGGATCGACTTAATCAAACAGTAAGACAGACCCACACCTGTATACCACGGCTTTGTAGGTTTTTTTTTCTTTCTTTTTTTTTTCTTTGTTCTTTTTCCTTTTAGTATTCTCTTTTTCCTTCTTTTTGTTGAGCCAGACAATGCTCGTCTTGTTTTTCACGGAAACGCCTTCTGTACTACACAGTTAAATTGCAACGAACTTTGGGTTGACTATGGCTTCAGAAGATTACCTGACGGTCTGAATCTTAAAATGTACGCTAGCAAAGCCATACTGCAATAGTAGTAGTGAATGTTTCGTGACTGGTGTAAATTGTGGATAAAATGACGCAGTCTGTTAGAATATCAACTCAAGTTGGAAACCTTACGAATCTGAAGCTGGGAAATCATTGCACTAGAGATTCAAGGACGCATGCTGTATAAAATATAGCGCCTTTGCTATAGGCTACTTGGGTAGGAGATTGCTTCTTACTTGCAGTGTAGCAGGCTTTTTCTGCTGTGGGCAGGGAGTTACGTGTTTTGTTACGCATACCGTCAAATCGGGCCAGATGGATCGGATTATGCAATGATGTAAAAGTGTCATGTCCCAACGTCATGGCGGGAAAAGGCAGACACCGACGATAACCCTCTCTTGGCTGAGATGATCCTCGCTGTCGCATACTTAATTTTGTCCCGCCGTCTTGTTTCATGGCATGCATGGGCTGATAACTACGCAGGTCTACGACCGCTCGCGATAAATGGTAGGGGACATTGGGTTTGGAAACCTTGAGCGAAATCCGAACCCCGCCATCTTCGTCAGTCTTGATCAAGATGCTCTCGCGCATTCGATTGTTGTGTGTTTTGGGGGCAATTTCAACCTCACTGTCTCAGCAATCATCTCAGTGTTGCCTTGATGTTTGATTAACCCGCTTATTAACCAAGAACATCATGGCGGCTCACACAGGCTTTCTGAGCTATGTCGTCAACTTCAACATGGCTCCCTTGGCTTTGATTGGATTTGTGTCTTTGGTGGTAAGTGTAGTTTCAAGCCTTGGCAGCGTTGACCGATCATCTGTCATCGGTTTCAAAGCCGTCTGATGCCACCGAGGCTGACAGCTCATAGACTCTTGCCTACGTTTTCGGAACCATTATTTACAACGTCTATTTCCACCCACTGTACAGGTATCCTGGCCATAAGCTACCGGCCGCCACTAAGATACCTCACGCTCTGTGCAGTGTTTCGGGTCAGGCGCATCACAAGATTCTGGAGCTGCATCAGAAATTTGGTCCCATCGTAAGGGTCAGGAAACGACTTGCAAGCAAGACTGAGCGACCAGATTTTATGGGTTCCACGTTGCAAAAGAGAAGCGGCTCTGAGGTACGGTAATTACGCTAGCAGAAGATGTGAAATTACTAAGACGCCACAGGAACTCACTTTTGAAGAGTTGAAGTCCAATGCGGCGATCCTCATTACTGCTGGTTCCGAGACTACCGCGACAGCGCTTTCGGCTACGACGTACTACCTCTTGACAAACCCCAATGCTCTGAAAAAGCTCAGTGATGAGATTCGCAACACGTTTGCATCCGAAGCCGATATCGACATGAGTAGCTCGCAGAAGCTTGCCTATATGCATGCCGTGATAAACGAGGGCTTGAGGATGTATCCTCCGGTCCCGACTAGAATGCCGCGCAAAGTGAACAGCGACGGCGGTGTCTTCTTGGGAGAATATGTGCCTCCCGACGCAAGTCAAATCATCAACTCAACTCGCGACAAACACAGATAGAAGTCGCTAACACGTGCAACAAGACAACTGTCCAAGTTTGGCATTGGGCCACGTTTCGTAGTCCGGTGAATTTCTTTGACATGAGATTAGCCGATGAGAGCAACGGATGGGATCAACGGAGTCGGGGGTACTTGCTGTGGGAGAAGGCGCCTCTCAAGGTCTTCCTCACCCCCGGAAAAACGGCTTGAAAAAGCAAGTAACCAGGAAATGAGTTTCTACGGAAAGTCAGGCTCAAAGCTTGGTTGTTGATATTACATCGTAACCTGTATACCTGTATTTTCATATTTGAAGTATGACTGTATAGATATCCTAGAATTGAAGGTTGTCGCTCCCCTCAAAACTGAGAACTGTACGAGCCCCATAATACCACGTTGATTAGACCTCCCCTTATATACTTAGTCTATTGCCGCGATATGAAGTTAGAGGAGAGCGAAAATGAGACCGTGATTTGTTACCTCGAGCACTACTCCAACGCTAGCGTACGGTTATCAACAAACTTGAAGACAAATGCCACAATTTGAGTAACTCAACCGACCGAGTTTGCCTATCGTGAGAATTGAAGTGAGTTTGAAAGGCATAAATATTACTTACATACTCGTGGTGTACATCCCACCGAGCAGAGTAATATTAACTCGAGTATCCGTAGCATTCATTCAAGACTTCTCGATGGGAGTGTAGACATATTCTGGTGTCTGTGACTTCCCATCCACTGTGGTTGGCGTCGATCAGCAAATAGAGCATCGAGAAGTGGCTACCCCCACTAGGCAAAAGGTTCATAGCGGCAGAAGGGGGGATGGAGGAGAACCCACTTTTCAGGGTTCTTATACGTAGTAATTATCGAGTTACTTGCATGGGGGTGGGTGATGAAACAATGACAGCTCAGTCCCAGGCTCCCGGAGCCCACGACGAGATCTAAGCGCCCACCGGGGAAACCAGCGGGATCAAGTGAACCAATCACTTGGTTGGAGAAGGTAGAAAACGGCAATGTTTCGGGAGTTTCGGGAGCTTCGCCGAGGACATGATACAATTGCAGTGCGAATCGAGCCGACGCAGGAATTGAGTTTGGTGCCAGCCAGGCAAAGACAGACGCTCATTCGTTCGGTGATCTAAGAAGCAATTTACGCCGCTCAGTCATCCACGTCCCGCTGCCAAGACGGTCATCTCCAGGGGTGGAAACGCAACGCACCAATCGATTTCCCTCTTTTCACCACACGTTTCACTCAAAGGGGACCCCGGAGATTTTCATGTCACACACGGCCTTCCTCCACTCGAGTTTGTCCCGTAAATGAGCAGAAGAAGGTTCGGTACACCACCACTTTGTGGCCTTCTTTTTGGCGCATCGTCATTGGGGCTGAAGTCGCGAGGGGCCCACTGACTTCCGCTTTCCATCCGGGGCGCGTGGGAATAAGATGACATGATAAGGGGTTTGGTCCTCTTGAATTGGCGAGCGTTTCGCTTGCCTGTCTTGCTTTGTCAAGCTGCCTTCTTTCGACTCGACTCAGCTGCCATGGGTCTCAAGTACCTCACCTGTGCTGCGGCCATCGTCGCTGTAGCGGTGCATCCCTGGCTATCTGCTGCCGTCGATCTTGAGCTCAATATCACGAGCCTGATCGGTGGCGAGCTGGATTCGGACTGGACAACCATATACTATTCCGAGGACAAGCCGTTGCTTCTTGGCAACGATGAAGAGGCGGCCACGGGAGGCTTCCACGCGTGGGACCTGAACAGCGACTCGCCCCTTTCCGAGGTCAAGTCGGTGACCACCGGCCGAACGAAGCTCATCACGGCAGTCTACGATGTCGCCGGCAAAGACCTTGCAGTCACGATCGCGATGCCGGATTCCATTATCCGAGTCTACGAACTACCGGCCTTCACCGAAATCGAGTCTGCGCAAACGACAGTGCTCGGGGATTGGTCCGCTCTTTGCCCCTGGCGCAGCAGGAGTCTGAACGACTATGTCTATCTCTTCGGAAAGACCCGGGCTGTGCAGTACCTCATTCGTCAAGGGAAGGACTCTGTCGAGCTGGTTGAGGTGAGCATCTATGGCCTGTTTCGGACCCCTCATTTTCTTCACCATTCGTTGACTTTCTATTACAGGTTCAAAGCTTTCCGATTCCGACCGAGTTCTCGGGTTGTGCCGTGGTCAGATCTCAGTCGAAGATGATAGCCACTGCCGAGGATGACAAAGACCTCTACATTTTTGACCTCAAGGAATCTACCGTTGCGCCCGAAATCACCAAGCTCGGCGAAGCCCCAGATGATGTTACTGGCATTGCCGTCTATGTCTCCAACACCGCTGGCCTGGACTATTTGTTCGTGGCCCAAGAAGACACCATCGGCGTCTACGAATACCCGTTTCGACTTCTCGGTAGCATCCAATTGACTGGTTTGGAGGACATTGAAGTGGAAGGCCTCAGTCTCTACCAGGGATTTACCTCCAAGTACCCAAGCGGGGCCCTCGGCTTTGCCTTGGAGGCGGATCCTGATGTTGAAGGCTTTGGCTTGGTGTCTCTGGACGGCGCACTCGGCGAGCTGGGAGTGTCAGTCAACACCGCTTACGACCCCCGGAACCGGGCTGGATGCCGCACTCGCTCCACCATCTGTGAAGCCTGCTCAGGCAACGGCTACTGCCAGGCGAACGGAGCTGGCTGCGCCTGCTTCGCCGGCTTCACCGGCGACAAATGCGACGTGTTCCAGTGTACCGACAACTGCTCCGGACGCGGCGAATGCGTCGGGCCCAACCAGTGCAAATGTCAAGATGGGTGGGGAGGCCTTCACTGCTCGTTCCTCCTCGTCGAGCCTTCGTACGAGACTGACCAAAACGGAGGCGACGGCGACGATCCGGCCATCTGGATTTCGCCCGTGTCGGCGGAGGAATCCCGCATTATCACTACGACGAAGTCTACTGCCGGTGCTGGCCTGGGTGTCTTCGATCTCACTGGCAAGCTGCTTCAGACCATACCCGCCGCTGAGCCCAACAAGGTCGATATCATCTACGATTTTCAAGTGGGTCGCCGAAAGGTAGACCTCGCTTTCGCCGCCTGTCGCGGAGATGATACCCTTTGGTGAGTCATACTTGGTCCTCCTGCGATTTTTCTCAAGACCGTGACTGACGTAGCTTCAGCCTCTTCGAAATGACTTCAAACGGCACGCTCAAGGAGATTCCTGGCGGCATTCAGCCTGTTGTGCCCGATTATAGCGTCTACGGGTCTTGTGTTTATAAGTCTCCCAAGACCGGCAAGCAGTACTTGTTTGTCAACGAAAAGTCCGCTCGCTACCTGCAATACGAGCTGACCTCGACGTGCAACGGGACACTCCGAACGACACTGGTACGCGATTTCACTGGCGGCTCGGGCGGACAGGTCGAGGGATGCGTGACCGACGAGGACAACGGCTGGATCTTCCTGGGCGAGGGGCCTGCAGCTCTCTGGCGGTACGGTGCCGAGCCCGACTCGTGTGAGGAAGGCCTACGGATTGCCTACGTCGGCGATGGTCAGACGCACGCCGATGTCGAGGGCGTCAGCCTGGTGTACGGCGCGAAGCCTGACCAGGGCTATGTGATCGTCTCTAACAAGGGCGTCAGCGCCTACAACGTGTACAGGCGCGCCGAACCCCACGAGTACGTGACGACGTTCACAATCACCAAGTCCTCCGACGGTCAGGTCGATGCAGTGTCCAACACCGACGGCATCGCCGCCGTCGGCACTCGTCTGAACGAGGACTTCCCTCACGGCGTCGTCGTCACCCACGACGACGCGAATCAGTTGCCCGATGGCAGCACAAGTGCCGAGGCTAGCTTCAAGCTGGTGAGCCTGGAGAGGATTCTTGGCTCAGATGCGCTCAAGTCGCTCAACCTCTTGGATGATGTAGACGCAGATTGGGACCCGAGGAAGTAAGATACAAACGTAATGCGGGCGAGAGACCGGGGACTCCATACACAAACATACCATTCGAGTATATACTACAAACGAGAACATATGATGACCAGCGTACACCAGCTCTGCGTGCTACGTGTCGCTGACTGTCGGCATCTTGCGAGTAAGGCGAACTTGTTAATTATATTATTCCACTAGACAGGGACAGGAGGGCTAATGGTTACTTTTTCCATGGAATGTGCTCACATCAAGCGACTGAAGCTGTTTTAGAGATTGAGGCGCGGTTCACTCGGTGGTGGTAATATTGATAGACAGGACTTGTGGGATGACTGACACGGCACCGACCACGAAGGTCAACACTGTGGCTCAGGAAACGGATTGATACTCTTCTGGTTGGGTCGTTCCAGAAGCCGTATGAGGGACAGTCGGGAGAGAGCCTCCCCTCAACAGGTTTATTCATGTAGAAGCAAGATACTATGGAATGAGACGGCTGAACTCTGAGAGAACCACTCCACTGGCAGCACGTGTTTCCGTGTTATTACCCCAAGTGAGGAACCCTTTTTTCCAGCTCAAAGACAAAGACAGCTTCTCCTGGGCCACGTTGAATGCTGGAACAATGACAGATTTCACGTTCCGCGTAATCAGTGCTTCCGAGCGAGCTATACCTATCTAGCTAGCAACGATGGATCGTTGAAGGAACAATCGATCGGGTTCTCTTGTATCCAGATCGGGGCCTAGATGATGGAGTCCAATGGTCAGGTGCCACTGAGGTGGTTGAGTTTGTATGAAGGGAAAACACAGACTGCTGAAAGAACAAGCAAAGGGGGATGAAACGGAGATGGAAGAATTTCATCAGGAAAACGGGCGCCACTTCTCACCGGGCAACGGTCAACTCCCCCAGAGCAGATGGCGGCTGGGCAAAAGCTTCGCATGCCATTTTCCATCGAGATTCGGTGGCTCGAAAACGCCCTTTTTCTTGTCGCCGTTCGTTGGCGGCTGGTGCTAGGCCTCCTCACACAAGATAAACAAACCGTGGTCGATGGGTACGTACCGATGAATCAACGGAGGAAAGAACAGAGCGATCCAATGATGGGGGCCCCTCTCGCCGGAGTCCTTTCCTGTACGGATATTCACCCAGACAATCAATTAGGTAGGATGGACGTTCCCCGTGCCTGCACATTCTAACTCCAATGGGGCTGCTGAGCCCCACTCATCCGTCCCGATATGGCCAAGCCTTCCCTTTCCTAACGGGCTGCGCGCCGTCGTCTCAGTCTTTTGACAGCCTGGGCAACAGCCCCTGGTTTACCGGTACTTAGGAACCGGTTGATACCTTAGCCCAAGTTTCGTGTTTCCATAAAACAAAAGCGCGCAATAGAGAACACCAGTGGCCTTTGTATGTGGATACCTGTGTACCTGTGTACCTGCCTACAATAAGGGCTCTTTCCATTCCACGCCCAGATAGGAAAGGAAGAGGAAGTAGATGGAGAAAGAACCAACCAACCCCTAGAGCCCCACTCCTTCCCGTCCTCGTCGATCATCCGGACTTGTTCCCACAACACCATCGGCCTCAGCCGGGCCACACTTCTGCCACCATCGATCGATGCAAATTCGTCCGGTCATCTGTCTCCGACCATGCTGTATCCTCTCTCTCGATCCACCATGTTTCACCGTCGCCCTGTCAGCGCCCTTTCCGTGGGCCGTCTCCGAGGCGCCATCGAGCTATCATGGCACCCTACCTAGGCGCAGGTACGGACGGGCAGAGGATGCCGCCGCTCATATTGTATGTACCCGGGCCCGACAAGCCAGCCAGCCACACACCACTACACCGCTGACCGGTGATTAGCAGCAGTATCGAGCCGTTGTCCTGTGTGATTCGAGAAGTCTCGACAACGCCGCCGCTACACCACCGCCGCAACCCCCTGGTGACCATCGCCGGTTCTTACCTACTACCTACGATGCAATCTAGTCTGCCGAATCGTGCACTATTGCTGCTCGATCCGCTCGAAGCTGTCTTTGTGCCGTCATGGGTGACGGGTAACAACAAGCAACCTTACCACGACCCGGCTGCGACTCCAACTCCTGGCCACTAGGGTTGCTGCGCGCCCTAGTATGACGAGATGGTTGTGTGCGTGGGTGGTGGATCCCACGACTTCCTAGCTCTAAAGGCACCCAACAACCTCCCACACGACCTCATCGTCGTCTTTTTCGAATAAATACTAACCCACCGCGCCCAGTTTGTTCATCTTTTCCTCTCCCCCCCAACCCACTGCTCATTACAACCATCTTATGCTCGCGCTCTAGAAGCAGCTTCTCGATTCCTAGACTTATACCCATTCTCTTCCGGAAAGAGAAACCAAAGTCAACATGCGTGGCCTTTACATCGGACTGGGTGCCGTTGCCTTGGTGTCCGTCAACGCCAACCAGTACCCCAACTGCGTATGTTTCCCTCTTATGCAACACTCTAGCCCATCTACCTTTTCTGATCTTTCATGTCTTTCTTTGATCTACATGTCGACATGAACTATGCCTGCGGGCCGTTCCTCTCAAAAATATCTGACTGACGAGATACTACAGGAACACGACAACTGCTACAATAACCTCATCGACGACCGCTTCAAGAATGAGGCCAACGTCTTTTGTGTCGACTTCCTGGATGGAACCACCACCGCCCTGAGTGCCATCCCTACAGACTTCGCCAACTGCGACAGTATCAAGGCCGCCTCGTCTGCCTGCTCCTGTGTCACTTACACCTTAACTCACACCGTTCCCGTCACCACGAGTACTCCTTCCTTTTGGATCACCAGCACAACGGCCCCTTCCACCACTGTCAGCACAACTGGAGTTGTCTGGACCACCTCCACCTCGTCAGTTGTCGACAGCAGCAGCGAACACTCAAGCAGTACATCGTCTACTACGTCATCTACAACAAGCACTTCTTCCACTGCCAGCAGCACCACATACTCAAGCAGCAGTACATCATCTACAACCTCTATGACAAGTAGTTCCTCAACTGCTAGCAGTACATCGTCTACTACATCCCCTACATTAAGCAGTTCTTCTACTGCTAGTAGCAGTACATCGTCTACTACATCTCCTACACCAAGCTGTTCTTCTACTGCTAGTAGCACTACAGTCACAAGTAGCAGTACATCATCTACAACCTCTACAACGAGTAGTTCCTCAACTGTTAGCAGTACATTGTCTACTACATCCCCTACATTAAGCAGTTCTTCTACTGCTAGTAGCAGTACATCGTCTACTACATCTCCTACATCAAGCTGTTCCTCTACTGCTAGTAGCACTACAGTCACGAGTAGCAGTACATCATCTACAACCTCTATGACAAGTACTTCCTCAACTGTCAGCAGTACATCGTCTACTACTTCCTCCACAACAAGCACTCCTTCCACTGCTAGCAGCACATCGGCCTCAACAACCTCTGTTTCTTCAACCATTAGCAGCAGCGTCTCCAGTACATCATCTACAACCTCTATGACGAGTAGTTCATCTACAACCTCTATGACAAGTAGTTCCTCAACTATCAGCAGTACATTATCTACTATTTCCTCCACAACAAGCACTCCTTCCACTGCTAGCAGCACATCGACCTCAACAACCTCTGTTTCTTCAACCATTAGCAGCAGTGTCTCTAGTACATCATCTACAACCTCTATGACGAGTAGTTCATCTACAACCTCTATGACAAGTAGTTCCTCAACTATCAGCAGTACATTATCTACTACTTCCTCCACAACAAGCACTCCTTCCACTGCTAGCAGCACATCGACCTCAACAACCTCTGTTTCTTCAACCACTAGCAGCAGCGTCTCCTCCACAACCTCCTTTGATACAAGCGCTTCCTCGACTGTTACTACATCCTCTACGACAGGCTTTTCTTCCACTGCCAGCAGCACATTGTCTACCACTATTACTTCAGTAAGAAGCACCTCGTCAACTGCTAGTAGCATATCATCCTCGATTACTTCCGTTTCTTCTGTAGAGAGCATTTCTCCACCCATACTCTCTTCAAGTGGCACGTCGACTACCACAACCTCCATTTCTTTAGTAACAAGCACCTCATCAACTGCCACCAGCAGCACATTGTTTACTACCTCCAAGACAAGCACTTCACCCGTCATCAGCAGCGCCAGCGACTCAAGCACCACAGCAACCACTTCCATTTCTCTTACCTCGGCAGTAAGCATCTCATCGACTGTCGTCAGTAGTATCACGGGGTCAAGCAGCACGGTGTCCTCCTTTTATTATGAAGAAAGCACACCCGTGGCATCTGAGACGAGCACTTCTGCGGCTTCTTTGACGAGCACTTCTGCGGCTTCTTTGACGAGCACTCCCGTAACTTCTGTGATCAGCATTCCCGTGGTTTCTGAGACGACCATTACCTACCCCGTGACTGATAGTTCTACCAAGCTCACCACCTCGACTATCTACACAACTCGGGTCATGACTTTGACTCAATGCGCTCCTAATGTCCCTGACTGTTCTCTCAGTCCCATCACCACTACCCAGACGATTGCTATTTCAACTACTGTTTGCCCCCTGACGGAGGAGTCTAAGGGGCCTGTCACTACCAACCTATATACCACCTCGACTATCTACACAACTCGGGTCATGACTTTGAATCAATGCGCTCCTAATGTCCCTGACTGTTCTCTCAGTCCCATCACCACTACCCAGACGATTGCCATTTCAACTACCATTTGCCCCCTGACGGAGGAGTCTAAGGGGCCTGTCACTACCAACCTAAACACCACACCAACGACTAAGATGACTACATCCACCATCTACACAACCCGTATTGAGACCATCACAAGGTGCCTGCCATCTTTTCCCAACTGCCGCGGTCAAACTTATGTCACAACTAGGACTATTGCTGTTTATACGACCGTGTGCCCCGTCATTGAGACATCCAACAAGCCCGTGATTCCTATTCCGACGGACGAGCTGACCACTTCTATCATCTACACGACCCGTGTTGAGACGGTCACTGGGTGCGCGTCATCCACCCCAGGATGCTCTGAACAACCTTACGTTACGACCAAGACCTTTGCAGTTTCCACAACGGTATGTCCAATCAACAAGGGGTCAACCGGGCCCGTAATTTCGCCACCTGCTGCCCTACCGACGTCCTGGACTACCTCTATTGTCTACACTACCAATATTTACACTGTCACTGCTTGCCAGAGCAATACACCTGGCTGCGTTCCCACTCCCCGTATCACCACCGAGGTGGTTCCCGTCTCTACAACCATTTGCCCCGTCACTGAAAGCGAGCCGCAAACCCTCACCATTGCTAGCCCTGTTTCCATCAGCACACCTCCTATGCCGCCTGTAGGCACTCCTTCAGCAAACACTCAGTTTTCTCATCTTGTAAGCTCTCAACTTGCACCCTCGTCGGGAACCCAACCTACTACTCCTGGGAAGATTCAACCCGCTCCCTCGGTAGGCACTCCTCCGGCCAGTTCTTCCCCAGCTAGCTCTTCTCCGTCTGGAGCTCCCCTGTCTGAACTTCCCCCGGCCCAATACCCCCCGATAGGACTCCCTCCGGCGGGCGCTCCTCCGGCGGGCGTGCCTTTAGCCGGTTCTTCCCCAGCTAGCTCTTCTCCGTCTGGAGCTCCCCTATCCGAGCTCCCCCCAGCCCAATACCCCCCGATAGGACTCCCTCCGGCGGGCGCTCCTCCGGCGGGCGTGCCTTTAGCCGGTTCTTCCCCAGCTAGCTCTTCTCCGTCTGGAGCTCCCCCATCCGAGCTCCCCCCAGCCCAATACCCCCCGATAGGATTTCCTCCGGCGGGCGCTCCTCCGGCGGGCGCTCCTCCGGCAGGCGTGCCTTTGGCCAGTTCTTCCCCAGCTAGCTCTTCTCCGGCTGGATCTTCCCTGTCTGAACTTCCCCCGGCCCAGTACCCTCCGATAGGATTTCCTCCGGCAGGCGCTTCTCCGGCAGGCGCTTCTCCGGCAGGCGCTTCTCCGGCAGGCGCTCCTCCGGCCGATTCTTCCCCAGCAAGCTCTTCTCCTTCTGGAGCTTCCCCGTCCGGTCCGCCCACAGCTGCGACTCCCCCAACTTACTCTCCCCCATCTAAACTTCCCCCGGCCCAATTTCCCCCGATAGGATTTCCCCCGGCCGGTCCTTCTCCATATACAGCTAGCTCTCCCACGGCTGGCTCTCCTCCCGCCATCACCACTCTCGTTGCCGCTCCTACCAGGACCATGTCTACTCCCGTTCAGGTCAGCGGCAACGCAGCTGATCGCCTTGGTTCTGGCATGCCTGCTGCCGTAGCCGGCCTTCTTATTGCTGCTCTCCTCCAGGTATGAGTAGAGACTGTCTGGCAGGCCGACATTCATTTCATGATGGATTTTCTTTTCTTTTTTCTTTTGGTGTATATTAATAGATGGTGACGGATTGCCCTGCGACAAAGACTTAGACATGCATTATGAACTGCACTCCTCAATGGACCTTGCACTTGTAAGATAAATATTCAAGACGCCTGCCACGATGCGGGCAGGATTTTTAAAGAACTTCTATGGCCACTGGCGTGGCACAACACACTTGTTACATCACGATAGTTGGTCGACACATTATATATAGGAGCCTCCCTAAAGAGATTACTGTTAAATTAAAAAGAATGTTTGCCATTTAATAGCGAATTATCCCTAGATAGATAGATTGAAGGCGGTGCCCTTGGTCTGGCGATAACTTGTATTTCTAGAATCCGCTGTTGTGACATTATCTATAGTAACTCGAAACCTCATAGTGACTATGAGATTAGTTTCCATGTGATGCATGGCCTGGTCAAAAGCCCCTGCAACGGCCTGTCCACACCACAAGGTGTGCTTTTTTCTGTTACCTTCGGAGCTCCTCCTGTCTGTTTCCTTTTTGTCCTCATGAGTGGTCAGTCCGCTGGGAAGGTCGGCAGCGGCTGATTGTTGAGGCGGGCGAACACGCACGCTCGCCACCCTGTTAGTGGCAGCAAGTCAGCGTCGAGTCTACAGTTCCATACCGGTGCATGCCAGCGGATGAGGTGGGGGGGTGGGATAAGTACTTACACATCAACCAGTCGACATATGCCTTGACAACGTTAATGTAGGTGTACGCGACGACTATGATTAAGTGCAATGTCAGTCAGTATCAAGTGCTTTTTTTTCTTCATATATAATTGCGTGTACGACGGTTGGAAAGGGGGGTGTCATCAGAAATACTCACTCTCGCCGGTTTCCCGGTAATGCTTCGCAACGGCATCATGGAACATGCCATACATGTCGGACAGGGTGACGGGGGCGGTTTCCATTATGATCCCGAGATTGGACCAGTGCTTCTTGCTGTCGGACATCCCGAGCGCTCGACCTGGGAATTTGGATGCGGTGGGTTGCGAGGTCTTTGGATAGGCAGGAGGTTAGTCAAGATACTCTGCAAATTCGGGGCTAAGGGAAATAAGAAGACCAGAATTAGGCTCGATTCAGATCTACTGCAAATTCTTGTCGCTCACGGAAATGCGAGTCTCGGTCCAAACGAGAGGTTTTGTCATCATAAGTGTCGAACGCTATTGGGATGGCATGAAGAAGGGGGGTAGAAAGAAACAGAAAGCTCACCGGGAGAAAGCCCGCAATTATGCAGGAACTTGTAATGTGTATCCTGGTGATGAGGTGTAAGGTTAGCGCGTAAACCAAAGACGCCGACGGGACTTTCGGCGTCGGGAACAGGATGCCATGATGGAAAGGCTCTATCAGGAGAACGATTGATGGAAGAGTCTCTGAAGGACTTGTGCTTCGGATTCTGACCAAGGGTATGTTCATCATGCGAGGCTTTCATGGAGTCTCGGGGACAACAATGGCGTATAAAGATTAGAGATAGAGAAGGCTGGCTAACTTACCCAGTTGGGCCGAGTCTTCTCAAATGAAAGCAGGATGAGTGGCAAAGTATGGTGGACTGTTTCGTCAGCTGATTTCCCAAAAGGTGACTATGGGGAGGGAAGGATTACAAGCAACCGAAAGCAAGAGGAGATCGATCAGGAGGAGTGTGCAAGCCACTCAAACTCGCAAGACAATACGCCGGAACCGATACGAGAGTAATAAAGAGTAGCCACAATATGTCGCAGCTTGGGTGACTTACTACGGCAAGCTCGGGATATAATCCGTGAAAAGTTGCCAGTTCGGGGTCTGTGAAGCTGCAATCATTAGCAGTTGGATCTATCAGTGGACGAGATAAAGGGGAAGATGCGGCCAGAAGATACCATAAAACCTCGTTGACACTTGTCTTGACCGAACACAATCTTAGTCATCATGAGAAGCATATGTCGCAAGGCGAGCGATCGTAGAGCGTCGGAACAAGAGACAGAGGGAAGAAGGAAGGGGCTTACCACGTCGAAGCAACGTCTCAACTAGAGGGGTAATCTTCAGAACTAGGGTTTGGTAGAAAATTGGGATGCTAGCAGTGTAACCTGGGGTCAGCATGAGTCTTGGCAACACAGCGTGATGAATGGTACATGACCAGGGAAGGGAGAAATTTGATTCAGAATGATACCGTTAGTTGATCGGGGGCACGGGGCCTCGGATGCACTGGAGAATCTGTTCATCATGCAAAGAGGACGAATGTAATAGCAGCGACGAAGGACGGTGACAAGAGAGACAATGAATTGACTTGCCACGAGTGTTGTAACAACAGCTTCCACGATGTTTCGGTTAGGACATTGATGGGCAACAAGCTCTGTACGCGAGTTTGGAAGTTAGCGACAGGCCCTTCAACGGCACGACGGAGAAGACGACGGCAATGGAGGGGACGAGGTCGAGTCAGAGAAAGGATAAAAATCGCTCAAAGACGCGAGGTCTCAGAAGTCTTGCGAAGATTCCATCATCAGGGGAAGGCCATAATAAATGCGACGTCGGCAGGGCAGAAGAGACCAGAGCTTACCATGCGATGAGTCAATGCTTTCAATATTAACGGCTTCAGTCGAGCCGAATGCAGGAACAATTGTGTCTGGCAAAAGAAAATGAGTCAGCGTTACGACGTAACATAATAGAAAGGAAAAGACACTCGCGGTATAAATTCAAGAAGAGAGGCTTAACTCGAAGGCATCGGCCCGTATAGCGCGTGTGATGGAAATCAAGCCAAAATTGCCGAGCCGATAATGTGCGATGACCGCGGTTTGTTGGAGAAAGGAAATGGAAGGTGCTTACCGTTATGGGGGGAGGCAGATCAAGCACGACGGCTCGGCGTGGACGGAAAGCCGAGCTGCTCGATGAGCTTTTGCTGCGAGGCGAAGGGCGAAGAAGATAAGCAGGCACGAGCCTGTATGGGAGAAGAGAGTTGTGTGGTGGATGAATTTGCGGAAATGTTCCGAGAGGAGAAGCAGGCCACGTGGGCGTAGTGAAAGAAGAC